TCACTGGATTCATGAAGGTATGGCAAAATGTTAATTAGAAAGAACTGTATACTGTGACACTTCAGCTTGTACATTACACCATGTGGAGTGATGAGGTCTGGAGTGAACAGTTATAGTTACATCTTTCTATTAAGGAGCAACAAATCATGTCTTCTTAGCATAAGACGATCAGTGGCAGTGGGAGAAGGGCCCAGCTACAGACCTCAGATGTACGTGAGGACCCCAGGTCTGTGAGCTGTGAGTCAGCTGCTTCCTTTTCTGGCTCAAAAGTATAAAAACAAACAGGCCTATCTGTTACTGCACTGCTATACTTGACTTCCTTCATGCATAGATGGAAAATACTGATTAGACATGTGAGTAAAGTGCAGATGGAGTGCAGGTAGCAACACAATGAAGCTGACATGGCCGTCATGTTTTAAATGAGACTGAAAGGCCTGTAGAGCTGAGGAGAACTGCCAAATTGGGTTATAATCTGTGGGCGAATTTCTTCACATTATGCACAATCATCTGATCCACTGTTAGTATATAAACAGATTAGCGCAACTTTAAGTGTAGTTCAATAAGAACATTGTGCTTATATTGTGGCCATTTCACAAAATCTCAAGGCATAGTGACTGAGATGGGACAGACCTGCCCCCTAAGCCTCTGACTTGTATTCAATAGCAAAACCAGTGTGTATCCTTAGTGTTGCTGCACATTCCAACAGGCCACGGCTCCTTTTCACTGTTTCTGTTGCACCTGGGGAGTTTGCCAAAATCCACAAAAGGGAGGGAGCCTTAAAAATAAAATGTTACAGCCCTTCAAATGATTTCTTGGGTTCAAGAGAATGACAGTGGTGAGGACGAAGTGTACTGTGATTCTACACATAGTATATAGAATCTCTTTAAACAGGCCACACACAGAAATTTCTTTTCCAATTTCAATTAATTATTTTCTTAGTCGGTCATTTAATATAACATTGAAGATGAACTGAAGTAAATACACTTTCCAAGTTCTAATCCTGTGTCTCTGTGTTAAATGTTCAGTTATACCCCATCCATTCATCCACAGCTCAGTATCTCACTATCTCTGCTGTTTACTGCTCCATCTGCATATTCTTACTTTTGAGGAATCTAATCAGATCTGAAGGATCTGATTTAAATCCATCTTATACCTTCAGTATCACCACCCACTACTCTGTTTCACTTGGAACTGTCACATTACTGAATATAAAGACATTGTGTGTTTCGCTTTGCCTTTAACATACTGTACATTCTCCATACTTTTGAAAATGAGGACAAATTTCTCCGTACTATTTTCTGCACATCTAAAAGGGTATGCAGATATATCCAGTCAGGGGCATAGGAATATGACTCTTGGCAAGAACATCTGCTATCCCTCAGGAACTGATATAAACCCTGACAGTGACAAACAGGCATCACACACTCACCTTCTTTGCGCAAAAAGCACTTCCATAGGCAGAAGCAGAGGGACAAGACCAATAGAGCTGCTACTGTGGTGACTGAGATCAGGATGGTGAGAGCTGTCCCAACTAGGACGGAGAAAGATAGAGAACTAGTGAGCAGTGTAGCAGTGGGTACATATTATTACATTTTTAAACTATAGAATGTACATCCTAGCCTTATAGAAACCAGAGTGGATTAAGAAAGAGAGTGGCAACATCTCCATTGACTTTATAAGGACTGTTTTATTTTACAGTAATGGCGGATCATGGGAATGTTGAATAGCTACAAACATCAGGAGCAGAGTGAGAAGGTGAAATCAATAGCAATAATTTTACTTGTGACACTTTAAGTTAGCGACATGTTTCAAAACACGTTTTACAACCTTTTTGACTGTCTCTCTAAAATATTGTCACTTTAATAATTAGGTACCTAGCTAACTAGCTAAATTAGCTGAGCTATTTGCAACAACTGAACACTTGGTTTGCAAGGCTGTTCAAGTCATTAAAAGTAGTAATTTGCTGATAAATTTCACTTCTCCCTACAGAAAACTATTTGAAGCTGTATGAGTCACGTGACCCGCTGTCGTTTTTGAGCCCTCAGTGTCGCAACTCATCTGTCTTAAGGGCTCTGGTAGAAACCAGACTACAGTTATAAAAAGCAAAATGTCTGTGGACTGTAAGGCCTGTGCAGACCTGGACACTGCTTCCCCTTACATTTAGCCTGGCTCTGTCCAAAGATGCCACAATCAACCTACCAGCACCTCTATCGCTGAAGTGTAACAATAAATTTACAGGTGGCGTGGGCCAGACTATCAACAGATTCTCCAGGAAGTTTTTGGTCGCAGCCATAGTCTTGGCTTCTGCATGTATATGTGTTAATTAGTGAGCTTCACGGCTTTACTGAATCTTTGGACTGAGACAGGCCAGCTGTTTTGCTGTTGTTCCAGTCTATGCTAAGCTCCCTGGATGCTAGCTGTAGCTTCATTTTGATGGACAGAGATAAGAATGATCCGTTTTCTCATCTAAGGGCCAGAAAGCAAAGCAGCGTATTTCCCAAAATGTTACACTAGGTCTTTAAGTCAAGTCCTGTTTAGAAATGACTTTAAACAGTATAACCTGAGGAATGTGCACGAATGCAATCATGGCTGTCCTAATAATAACAGTCCTAAACAATTTCTGACTTCTTTAGCAGTCTGGTCTGCTGGTAAGGGTCTCACAAGATAAGCAGGATGTAATGATATATAAGGTTTGGAATGGTCTGGACAAATAAAGACACAATGATATTATAGATTTTAGAATGGATAGCCAAATGGAAGCAAAGGTTCACTGACACTACTCACTTTTAGTGTTCATGGATACAGCAATTGGTGATTCCAGCCCTTTGTGGTGCACCAAGCATTTGACGGACACATCTTTCAGCAGGCCCGATTGGACAGTCAGTGTACTGATGACCAGAGTGGTTCCGTCACCCTGGGGGAGCTGGGTGGTCACAGGGGGGCCCATGGTGCGGTTATCTCTCTCCACGTTCCACACGATCTCTGCCGGAGGGCGTGACACGCAGGTGCAGTTGGCCTCAATCACACCTGGAGAGGTGGTCTTGTAGATCACCTGGGGTTTGGGCAGCACTGTGGGGAGCAAACAGAAAGAGCTAGCCCTTCTCACAAGCTAGCCCTGCGCTAGGAAAAGGCATTAATACATTCGTTCTTCTTCCTTTGTTTTCTTGTGCTGTGTGTAAAATGCACAGGCCTGAAAGCTCTTATGTTATCAGATTAAGTGAAACATGGCAGGTGCTGTCGGCTTCCGGGGGACAGAAATTTAACAAAAATCTGATTTTATTCAGGTTTGTGTTTGTATATCTTTGTAAACTGTCTCAGGGTAAATTGCTAAAATGGTTGCTGGGAAAAGCTTGAAACTTCTGGATCAACTAAGCTTTGTGAATTCCTGCACACTTCAGATCCATAAGTAAACCTCTGGCTGCTTTCAATTCTCTGTCCACTGGGATAAGCGAGGAATGTACACACCATAACTCAGAACATTAATATTGCCAAGAACATGTGTAGTTTCACCCACCATAGGTTCTGGATAACTTCAGGTTTTGGGATGACTCAAACCACAACAATAAATAAATAAATACTCTGATAACAATCCAAAACATCATGTCCTATGAATGAGCATGCGCTGGTGCGAATTGTGACATAATTATGGTTCTTAGTTAAAATTACATTTCACACAGTTTTACATTTATATAAATAAAAGAATATAAAAAATAAATGTTGTTCTGTCTTGACCAGCTACAACATTATGCTGCATATACATGCACATATAGTATACTTAAGTATATTTGTATTTCTCTACTTTTACTCAGGTAATATTTGGAATACAGGACTATTTGTCATGATGGAGCATTTTTGCACTGCTTCGTTGCTTAAGAATCTGAATTCTTCTTCCACACTAACAGTTTTATGAGGGACTGGGAGTTGGAAGGCTGTTGGCAGCAATGAGCAATAAGAAACAAAACAATGGTAGTTGGGCTACCTACTGTACGGTACAGTTCAATTTCAGACAATAGCACATCTGTTGGTTGAGATAAGTGTGAGCAAAAGGGAGCAGGAGACAAGTGGGAAAGCGAATGAGCAAAAAGAGAGCAAGACAATGCACAGAGGGAATCTCTGTCTGCTGCAAACACTGACACAGTCATGCATCAGGACCTCACTCCCTGCCTCCATCATTCTTCTGAATAATCCATTCTTCACACAAACACACTGCTCTGTGTTTGTGTGTTAACAAATCAGCCGACAGCTTAGCCTCGCTGTCTGCAGTGGATACAGGAAGAAAAGATCAACATGTCTGTCTAACTCCCAAGTGTACCTGTCTCCTTGCACTCATACCGAAGTCTGCCTCCTTTATTTCTCCCACAAAGTCCTGTCTTCCCACTACTAAACAATATGCCACTGAGGTTAACACAAAAGTAACATTATTATGAGACAAAGCAGCAAAAGACTAATGACTGCAATGGCAAAATTAGGGAAATAAATCCAACACCTCCTCGTCTCTTGCTGTCACAGAGCTGACCAGTTGTGTGTGTGAATGTTAGATCATCAGTTTTGGGAAAGTGTAGAAATGGTTAGACACATACAGCCTCTATCCAGGGTCAGAAAGGTGTGGAGAGAGGGGGTTTCTGAACATAAAAACAGTCTGGAGGAAGTACAAAATTTAAGGCTGCTACAGTCTGTTTCGTATTGAATCCCCTCTTCGTCTTTACACATACAGCCTTCCCTTGCTGAACTGCAGCAGATGGATCCAGTATGTTCTGGTAGTTCGTACATGTAGGTTTGTTTCCAGGACAAATCACCAGCAATAAACCTACATGTGACTGCCACATAATTTTGCTAACCGAGACAGCAAAAACCTCAGCTCCATTTCAGCTGAATGTAATGGAAGTGTTCAACATTTTCTGAAATTTTGAAGGATTTTATTACCTCTGTTCAGAGCCAGGCTGGCAGTTTCCCTGTATTTCCAGTTTTTATGCTAAGCTAAGATACCAGCCGCTGGCAGTAGCTTCATATACTGTACAAACGTAACAGTGGTATCAGTCTCTAACTCTTGGCAAGAAAGAAAATACAGCATCTTTTTAGTAATGAGCATTTTTGCACATTATGGGGACTTAGGAATTTGTCCCTCATCGCTTATACTTAAGTTGAGCTGGGATGGCATCACTTCACAACCAGTAAGAGCAGGCTGAATAATTATAGCAACTAAAAACCCTTTCAGCGTACAATGAGCATGTGATTACTATAATAAGACAGGACTAAAATGTCCTTAACAAGCTGTATGGCCAGTATATTGTGTATAATCAGTTTCTCAAAGGATGAGCTCACATTCTGCACACCCACTGTATTTCTGTGATAGCCTTTTATAAATACTGTATGTAATATAAAATCATCACAAGTAACAGATGGTTGGGGAAAAATATTTTACCGTAGGTGGAGAGACAAACCCTGGAGCTTTTTGGTCCATCAGGGTGTGTGCTGTACAGGCAGGTGTAGCAGCCCTCATCCTGCACAGTGACAGGCTGAATGGTGAGCTGGCTGTGAGACAGGAAGGCACTGAGCCAGACTCTTCCCTGGTATGGTGGCTCAATCATGGGGTCGCTCTGCTTTGCAAAGGAAGCCACCTCTGTGGAATTTCCTTGTGCAGAAGTGTGTGTCCATATGACATGCTGCACCTTTTCAGGCAAACCATAAGAGCATGAGAGGGTCACCTTCTTGCCGCTCACTGCTGTCTTGTTGTTGTCAGCAGTCACCTGTGCTGTAAGAAAAAGAAAGTCCACCATCCAGTGCAAGAATGATGGATGAGAAGGAAAGAGTATGAAAATCAGGATATTGTTAATATTCAGAAACATGAGATATTGTACTTAAACAAAAATCAGTCTCTGGAAGCTGCGCCAACTGTTTCTGGTTAATAGACTTGTGCCCTCCTTCTCCCACTGCTCCACAGCTCTTTATTAACATGACAGCTGCAACAGGCTTATCAACTTGTGTTCAGGGGTTATGGAGAATTTGGGATATCTACATAAATCCCCACAGTAGACTGATATCCAGGTTGTACGGGGCCCTGGGGATTTAGTTATTGTGTGTGATTTTAATGGGTGGATACATAGGGTGGGCATCCAAGCGCAATCCAGCCATGAAGCACCAACAGGAGTAGAAACAATGGAAAGCGTGGTTCTGCCAATGGCCATTTTATGATTCTCATGTGAGCATGTGTGCAATTCAAATTTAAGATCAGATTTATGAGAATAATATTGATGTTGTATCAAACAAAAGATAGGGTACTTCGTCTGTATTTCATTGCCTTGTACTTGTACATGGGCAATGACAATAAAGTTGAATCTAATCTAATCTAATCTAATTTTTACCATAGTAGTGTACTTTCATTTGCCAAAACTGCATTTATTCATTAAAATCAAGATACTTGTCATTACTGGCCTTACTTACAGATAACAGTGAGGCAGGTCTGTCCTTGCTTTGGACCAGTAGGATGCATGTCAAAGATGCAGGTGTAGCAGCCTTCGTCGCGGTAGCTCACCCTGCGGATTGTGATAGCTGAGGTGTCCTTTGGGGAGGAGGCGAGCTCCACATGCTGCTGTCCACTCACACTGTCTCTGTGGCCAGGCTGGTAACTCAGCAGGGTCTGGTTCTGGACATCTAGCCAAATCACCTGCCTCAGGGATTCACCTCGTTCCCTGGAAACACTGCAGGTCAGAGTGAAGGGCTTCTGCACTGGAGCTTCCAGACGCTCTGGCGCTGTTATCTTACCTGAAAAATCCACCAACATAAAAAAAACCAATACAGCTTGGTGTGACATGAGTTCTCATTTTGAGTTGTTCCTTAGTTTTCAGTTTGGCATACTCACCCTGTAGTCTTTCTACCATCAGCAGGAGCAAACACACCTGCAGACCCTGGATCATCCTTCTCATTGTTCATTTAACATGAAGACTGGGCCATGGAGAAAATTCAGTTACCATATAGTAAGTCAGCATTAACTCTCTTATAACTGGTGGTCCAGTGATAATGAAAGAATGCTGAAAAGCCTAGATAACCATTTCCCCTACTGCCAGAGCCCATTCAGCTCTCCAATTGGTTTAATAGCACTAAAACGTGCAGAAAACTTAGCGAGGTGCCATGCAAAATATTTTCCACAAATGCTATATCATCCAAAGATTTTGAAATCAGACATATCAGTAGTTATCCAAGTTAAAGTAGATCTTTAAACTATTACACATCACTGACTAAAACGATTCTAGGGTGAATTTAAGCCTGAAACAACTCTAGGCTAAGCATTACACTTAATAAATACATAACTTACAAACAAAAGATATAGAAGAATGAAAAATTACACATCTTTATAAGATCATCTGAACTGAGGACTACTGAATTACCTATCAAGTACTTTCTAAAATGAACACTGTTGAGACTGAGACACTCACCTCTGCTTATGTCCTAATACAAAAGGTAAAACCCAAAACTTGAAGATGTTCTACCTCTGTAATATTTTGCACATTCTCATGTACTCCAGTACTCCTGAACGAACTAGAAACTATTTTCACTCATCCGAGTGTTGCAGGAAAAATGAACACCAGCCGGCTGCAGCCGCTAACTTCAGTTTACTGGATGCAACAGAACCACAAATCATGTCTTGGACTCATAGCGCCCTCTGCTGTCATTTCCTACAGACAGGATATTGATAGGTGCTAAAATAGCCCCGAAAAACTTGTGCATCTGTTGTGGTCTTGCATGCATACTGAGACATTTTGGTCTGATGTTTTCAGCTTTATTCAAATGCATTTCTTCGGTAGTCTTTAAATTGAGCTGAAGTAGTAGGCTAGCATTTTCCCTCTGCGGGTAAACATGGTTATTACAACGACAAAATCATCACAGCGTTAAATGGAGTAATCCATTTAATTATTTACTATGAATAAAAGTACTGTGAATTATGTACCTCATGACTTACTTTTTGTGAAACAGCGCATTTTTGCGACGGAAGTGTGGTCGTCGGACTCGTTTTGGTGACGTACCTAAATGGTGTGTCGTTGGAACGCTACAACAAATGCTGCTATAATGAGCACATTAGCACCATAACAAATGTTTAAAACTGTACAAGGCTTGTCGTATTTTTATGTCAGCATGAAGTGAAACTATCCGTGACCACTACGTCTTCCGTACGCTGAGTTTTTGACAGACTAAACGTTGGTTTTTGCAGACGTCATGTCGTTTCTGGTGGATTCAGTTATCATGTTCACCTCGCAGGTAACGTTAGTAAACTAATAAAGAGCTTTGAGCAAGAACATCTAGTGTATGCTGTAATCTAACAGTGTAATTAATGTTATCTAGCCTGCTTGGACTGTTAGTACAGTAAATTAAATTTTTGTAGAAGTTTGTTATGTATTCTAGTTTAATGTTAGCTAAATGCAAGTGAAACGTTCTTGAATAACTTAAAGAGTCTTTGTGATTGGCTCATCTCATCTCATCTCTCATTACCGAGTTAAACATTTCAATATGTGCTAACCACAGTAACAGTCTGGCTGGGTTAAACAGTTGGTAAAGTTTCATTGCTTTCACATAACATGCATTCATTTCAAAATTCATGAATTGTGGCCAAATGCAGAAGGTAGGGTTGACCATCATGGCTGCATTTAATAAACTATGCAAAGGTTTTAGGCTATAAAAGTAAAGTGAAGATTATTTCCAAAATAATGTCACGAGTAGCTCTTATTTATAAGTTTACACCATACATGGTGTAGTAAACAATCCTTGGTGTTACTACAGACTGGCTTTAAAATTGCATTATTTTTCCCCGGGACACTTGACAGGTATGTTGTTTTTCAAAGTACTTCGAGGTAGGTCTGGTTAACACTATGTGATATACAGGAGGGGATGAAAGAACAGGTTTAACCACCAAGGTGACATGGTGTAGCTCTGACTAACAAACCTGATTTTTAAGGTACTTGTCAGGCAGGTTGTTCCAAGCATCAGTGGATTTAGGTGGTCTCGGTATCTTTTTCATGTAATCCCAGATTAACTTGATGATGCTGGGATCATGGCTCTGTTCTCCTCTTACGCTAAGTTGCTTACAAACCTGGTGGCTGGATGAAACACAGACTGGAACAGTGATTTTTTTGAGCACTTAATTAAAAAATGGGACCTTTTAATGTTCTCTTTGTCACTTTCCTCCAAATGATTCCATTAATCCATCACAGGTGCTGTTCTTTGGATTTGGCTGGTTATTCTTTATGCGGCGGCTGTTCAAAGACTATGAGGTACAGTGTAATCCCAAGACATTTATGCCCAAATGACCACTACTGGATTGACTGCCCAGGCATACCGCACCGGGTCTCAACTGGTTTGTTTTTGGGTTTGTTGACAGGTGCGACAGTACGTCGTCCAGGTTGTGTTCTCTGTCACCTTTGCTTTTTCATGTACTATGTTTGAACTCATCATTTTTGAGATTCTGGGTGCCTTAAGTAGTAGGTAAGCACATTTTGTAGAGGGTATAACTGTGTTTTATTGTTGCTTAACTGTGAAGAAGTTTAACCCTCATGCTTTTGTCACAGTTCCAGGTATTTTCACTGGAAACTGAATCTGTACGTGATACTGCTGGTTCTGATCTTTGTGGTGCCTTTCTACATCGGCTACTTTGTTGTCAGCAACATACGCTTGCGTAAGAACACTAGTTTTAACAATTGAAAATAAATTATTTAACAAAATAATGTTTGCCTTATAATAATAATTACAATAAACTGTTTGCTGTGCTGTGTAGTTCAGAGACAGAGGCTGCTTTTTGCCTGTATGGTGTGGTTTACCTTCATGTATTTCTTCTGGAAGTTGGGAGATCCATTTCCCATTCTCAGTCCAAAGCATGGTAAATGTGCACCCTTCTCCTGTCCTAGTTTACCATGAAACATTGATGAACATTTGATATTTTACGGATGATTTGTTTCTCCTAACGTGAGAGTCCTTGTCTTTTGTTTAGGTATCCTGTCCATTGAGCAGCTAATCAGCCGTGTTGGTGTGATTGGAGTCACTCTCATGGCCCTGCTGTCTGGGTTTGGTGCCGTTAACTGTCCCTACACATACATGTCATATTTCCTCAGGTAAGATCAGCTGCACATTTTCTCTGGTGCTGTGTCAGTCTGAGTCTGCTCACGCATCAGTTAATGTTCAACCAGTTTATTTCTCAGTTTGCACAACTGTACACAAAGTAACACGAGCTCCCTTTTCTTCTGTGCTTCTTGCTTTTATATGTTCAAAGAAATGTAACAGACAGTGACATCCTTGCTCTCGAGAGACGGCTGCTCCAAACTATGGACATGATTGTCAGCAAGAAGAAACGGTGAGAAAAAATTAAAGGCGATGACTCAAATAAATCAGACAGTGTGCAAAGTGTTTGTATTATGTCTGCAGAATTGCCATGACAAGGAGGCAGATGTACCAACGTGGGGAAGACCAGAACAGACAGACGGGATTTTGGGGCATGATCAAGTCTGTTACCTCCACACAAACAGGCGGTGAAAGTATCCTTTAAATTAATATTGAATATGATGGCAAGAGGCCCATATCATTGTTTTGTTACTAGACAGTTATGTTGGTCTTCAGTACGTGTCGTAGGCGTCAGCCTTAACTACAACCGTACAGACCTCTCGCTGATCCAGCAGGAGGTTGATGGTCTGGAGGAGCTGAGTCGACAGCTCTTTCTGGAGACTGTATTGGTGCAAGCCACCAAGGTCACACACACACACATACACACACACCTGTTTCACATCACTTGAGGGGAAATGTGGAAAATGTGGTTGCATTCATTCATAAAGCTACCTTTCGATACATCTGCAGGATTTCAAAAAGCTATTATGGTGTTATGGCTCTGGTGTTAGCAGACAGCTGAGTAACATGCAAAGCACCAGTGATATCCTATTGGAGTTGTGATTCTGTGCACCTGATCAGTGTACAGTAAGTCCAGTATTTAATTTGGTCTGGTTTGGTCATCCATATCTGGAATTGGGTAACATATAGATAAGATTAGAGTGGCTCAGCCATTTAGTGCTATGACAACAATATAGTGATGAAAAAGCTCAGTAGATGTGCAGAGTTCAGTCATCACAGTATCATCACATGGCCCCATAAAATAAAATATTTTATTTTTTCTAATCTTTTATTGCATAATGGTTTTCAGATTTGCTGTTTGCTAGCAACATGATGGCATGTTGTCACATCTGTTCTTGGCTAAACTTTGCAGGTCAGATTAAGCCCTGTTCAGCTACCCATGACAGATACATCACTGACTTTCACACAAACAGAGATAGTAGCTTCTAAAAGGTTTCGAGAAAGGTTGATCTCTCTATCCAGTCAGAGATTTTCAGTTATTTCTGCTTGATCACTAAGTTTTGCTGCATTCACATTTATTGTAATTTCATAAAGACAAATATCTGAAAAGCTGGGCAGAGCGCGGTGGAGCTTAGCTGGTCGTAGTAGATCATAGTGGAGCAGGGAGAGGGAGCGCTGGGCGGAGCAGAGTGGATTGATTTGGACTTTCATGCTTGTGCTACCTTAAGATACATATTGTATCTTTAAATACTCTGACACCTGGACTAAGAACCATTAGCCTGTGTCACTGACCGCTGTTAGAGACGCACATACACTACACACACTAATGACCTCTTTTGTCAATGTGCAATAAATGATTTGCTCATTCTTTACCAGCACTTCTTGTCCATATTTAGGAGCGAATTGAGTATTCCAAGACATTCCAGGGGAAATACTTCAACTTCCTCGGCTACTTCTTTTCTATCTATTGCGTTTGGAAAACTTTCATGGTGAGAACATTCACCCATCTAGCATTGTCTCTCACATTAATACTCTTAATGCTATAGCCCTTACCAGTGTTACGTTATCGCATTGTATTGTGTTTTATGCTATTTAAGATGTTTTTAAAAAAAAAAAGCGAACATTGTTTTAATTTTTTTTTAAAATCCCCACCCACCTTGTCTGTCATAGGCCACTATAAACATTGTGTTTGATCGAGTCGGGAAGACGGATCCAGTGACGAGGGGTATTGAAATTACGGTGAACTACTTGGGCATCCAGTTTGATGTGAGACACAGACACACCTGCAGCCTGTTATCTTCTGTCTCTTTGCTTTCTTTACAGTGAACCTGCTCATGATTGCTTTTATTCTTTTTTTAAATTATTGAAATCAGTAGTCACAGCTCACTTCCACACCAGCACTACGTTTGAATTTAAATGAACAAGCGATGACTGCAGATTAAAACCTTTCCCCTCCTTTTTTCTTTTCGTGTTTTGCTTCTCATATACTTTTGCTCCCTTTGTCCCTGTCTCAGGTAAAATTTTGGTCCCAGCACATCTCTTTCATCCTAGTGGGAATAATAATCGTTACATCCATACGCGGTTTACTCATCACTCTCACTAAGGTAAAACTATCCCATAATGTAGAAATGGCTACAGATCTTGAGGATAATTCATCTGTGAGATATTTTTAATGGCACATTATTTAACCATGGATTAATGCTTAATTATTTTTAGTTCTTCTATGCAATATCAAGCAGCAAGTCTTCCAACGTCATCGTGCTCGTCCTTGCTCAGATCATGGTGAGTCTGTTTGCTTTATGGTTGTGTTACAGCACCGGGCCTACAAACAACAGGTACATTAGAAATGTCTTTCTGTGTGTCTTTACTGTAACAGGGGATGTATTTTGTGTCATCTGTACTGCTAATGCGTATGAGCATGCCGCTGGAATATCGGTCCATTGTGACGGAAGTCCTGGGAGAACTGCAGTTCAACTTCTACCACCGTTGGTTCGATGTCATCTTCCTGGTTAGTGCCCTGTCCAGCATCCTCTTCCTTTATCTCGCCCATAAGCAGGCGCCAGAGAAACACATGGCCCTCTGATCCGCTGCTTCAGTCACCGCCGGGATACGACTTACTCCTGAACCACGAGGTGGCTTTCAGTCGAGGACTGAGGGATATCCAGAAATCAGGTTTTTATATGGGACAATTATTTGGACGGAATCAGGAACAGGCTGATGGTTGGATGCGGGCAACTACTGGAGCACACGAGGGAACAGCTTTGAACATAGACTTGAGTATTTTCAGAACATTTTTATTAGGAATTTAATTTTACCCACAAATGCAAACACGTGGTCCTCTGTACTCTTAAATTCTTACTCTTGAGGTCAAAATGTTCTTTTTCTTTTAGTCTCTCTGAACACACTGGATCTGCACTGTTTGCAGCATTTCCCTGCTTCACTCACAGGTGTAACCGGGTTATGTGAAGGAAATATCAACGTATTGCTCTTCATCTTCATGCAAAAGAGGCTGTTATTTTCAATAAAATATGGCATTTCATTTGGAGCAAAAACATACCCACGAAGTAAGCTTAATTCAGATGGTCACGTGTTCATTTATTTGTGTTCGTGGAATTTGTCATATATTTAATTTCATTTTAGAAATGGGAACAAAAAGTTTTTCATTTTTGACACTTTAAACAGAGGCAGCAGTTTTTGCATAGAAAAAAAAAATAGATGGAAACCCACAGTATTTAGTAGTAATACTGTCGATTTAAGTTTTACATGCTGTAGTTTGTACTCTTTGTAAACACTGTTAATATTGGAGATCTCAGGAATGGGAAATATGGTATATTACTCTGATCAGTGCACAGGCTCATCAACAAGTAGATCTTCAAAAGCAGACCAGGACCGGGACTGTGTTTTGTTCTCAGCCCTAACACACAGTCAGTGCAACTATTCTACTCTGATTCAGATACTGGCACTGAAGTTTTACTGTCTTTGTTCTGTCTTGTCCTTCGTCTCCAGTGATATTAATTGGATGCGTGAAGTTCATAGCGCTGATTTTTAAACAGTGATGGATCAACAGTAGGTTGACAAATCAGAAAATGTGTCCTTAAGGCGGCTTCTCAGAATCTTATATCGAAGCTGTCGTTAGATGAAGACGACGACACAGATGAGGTCTAAAAGAGAGAGAGAGAATAAAATCAGGTATTTTAATATTTGAATATCTTTTTGTCAGCCTTTAGTATGAAAGGTAAATGAGGATTGACTCTTAGTAAAGATTCAGCAAAGATATTGCCACATAGAGTATAAACAAGTCTGCAGTTATGCTAATGGTTCCTTGAGTCTGCTCTGGGGCACAGTAAAGTTGACAACCTCAGCATACTAACTGCTTTAGATAATAATGCTAACATGCCAGTGTTTTTCAAACAGTGTTTAACCATCTTAGTTTTGTGTGTTGCCATGCTGACGTGCCCTAATTGGCCCTACACACAAGGGATGATGAGAATATTATTAGTTGTATAAGTATTTGATCATTAACTATGGTATTGAAAATTTAGGTCTGATAATGCTATCAGATGTCAATTCCAGGATACCTGACATTGTTACATGGCTAACTGCCCAGTAGCTGGTGAGACGTTTCACTAGCACTAGAGGAAGGGATCACCATGAAGGCCTGTACAAAATTTTGCACCAATTCATCCCGTAGATGTCGAGATGTTATTCACTGGATAAGTGAAATTCCAACCAGCTTGTGTCAGAGGGAAAAATCGGTGAATCACTAAAGTAATTGGAATTCATCCTGTGGACACCACGGACATCTGAACAATTTCATTCATGCAACAGCTGTTGACAAATTTCAGCTGGTCAACTGTAAGACTGACACTGCCAGGTGTTACCTGTGAACATTTAAAAAGCAATGCTCACCCTCCGTCTTGCTGGTCTGGGGGGGGTTTGAGGTCTGGCCTCCACCTTGTGTCTGTTCTCCCTCCTGGTGTCTGGACTGTCTGCAGTGTGGACATCTACATAGGATGCTTCCCCAAGCAGCAGGCGGGTGTTGGCCTCTTCTTTAGCTTTGAGCTGGTCATAGACGTTCTTTTTAGCCACCAACATCTCCAGAGAGCTGCCGCCTCTGTGAATCATTGCCACCACCTCCTCGTGGCTGCTCTGCTCCACATTCACCCCGTTCACCTCCACCACGATGTCGTCATCCTCCAAACCTGCCTTGTCGGCCGCGCCACCCGTCACCACCTGAAACAAAGTGTCTTACCCCTTTAATTTAAAATGGTAATGAGCAAATAGCGGATGTTCTTCAGAGCCTTACCTCGCTGATGTACTGCCCTTGCACACCCTGGATGCCACTGAGGTGAAAACCATACCCAGCTGTGGTCTTCTTCATCTTACAGAGTTTAGGCTTGAGCGCCTCCTCCCTCTCTTGAGCAGGTGTTGATGGTGGCTTGTCAATGGTGGCCGCACCATTGACAAGCGGTGCACTTTGAGGGCCACACAGGTTGACTGGTAAGTTGATGGCCTCTATGTAACTGGGCGGTGAATTGAACTCCTTTATTTCTCCCCAGAAAAGCATCGGAGACACATTCCCCTGTGAGAGGAACAATTATATTATCTAGACTGTCTGATGGATTTACAGTAATAAAGCCACTAGTTTCACAGTAGCTCACCTGTTTATACATCTGATCTGTGTCTTTGTCCACCACCAGAAGACAGCATTCATTGCCACTCTGCTTGATCCTGCCCACCACCTGCTTATGGCTCCAGTTGTCCACCTCTTTGCCATCCACAGCCACCAGTCTGTCCATTTTTTTCAGACCCGCTCTATCTGCAGGGCTGCCTCTGTCTATGTCGTTAATGAAGTGTCCTGCACGATGTCAGTGAACACTGTCAAAACACAGCCCCCTCTCTGCAGATGAATGGTAATAAAATGAACAATTACGTATGAATGCTGATTCTGGCCTTGCCTGTTTGCCTGGGCTCCTGTTTGAGCACAAAGCCATATCCGTCAGATCTCTTTGTCATCTCAATGATGCGTGGCTTGTGAGGGAGGTGTTTGGTTGTGGCTAACCATGCTCTTATCTTCATATGCCTGTTCTGATAGTATCTGTCTGTTTCTGCATCAACCAATAGCAACATCAGGCTGTCGCCAGCCAGTTTGATCTTGTCCGCTACTTGGTCGTGTGTGGAGTCTTCTACATTCTCCCCGTTGACCTCCACCAGACGGTCTTTGGCTTTGACCCCTGCTCTGTCTGCCACACTTCCTGGGATCACCTCTGTCATGAATAAACCTTGCTTGCCTAAAGAGAATATTATGGAAGATATGAATAAAGAATAAAAGCTGAGATTATAAAGAAAGTTCTCTTCAGTTTTATAAAAAAAAGAATCCATTGAAACTGCAGGACATGAGCCAAAAGGTTCTCTGGTTCTGCATTGATTTGAATCTCTCATGCTATCTCTTTTTTTATCTGTTCATAAGTTTGACAGTTTTAGATATGCAAGGCTAAATCAGTACAGTAATCTTAAAGTTTAGACCTGTCTCTAGCTCTAAAAATCAACACCATGATCCATCCAGTCTGGATTTATTAATAATCTGGCATTTACAATGTTGGTCTAGATATTCTTCAGCTAATTTCCAGAGTGTAAATGATCAGTCTACTGAAGGTGTCTTCCTGATTGTGATTCTCCAATCCTGCCTCCTCAGCTCACCTTTGACGCTGCAAAAAGCAAACCCATAGCCTTTTTTGGATTTCAACAGGTAGCAGAGTTTAGGTTTAAGATCCTGCGTGGCCGCACCATTGACAAGCGGTGCGCTTTGAGGGCCACACAGGTTGACTCCCTGTTCTTTTGCTTGCTTGTAGGAGGCTTCATCCAGAATGTGGAATGTGACAGAGGTGCCACTGTTTTGCACCAGCTCCACCACCTGCTCAGGGGAAACAAAGAAGGGTCCTGAGGAAAGATGCTTATCACACCGTTATTCATTTGGTCTTTATTGATGTAATTCCACGTACTCACCTCCAAATGGGACAGTCCATCAACAAATGTTCCATTGATCCTCAGGATTCGGTCTCCATCTTTAAAGCCTGCTAGTTCAGCTTGCCCTCCCATTTCCAGGGAGCGGATCAGGTGACCTTCCTCTGTCTGCTCTGTTCTCAGAAAGAAGCCAAATGTCTGCCCCGGCCTCTTGGTCAGAGAAATTACCCTTGGCTTGTATGTGGCCATGTCCTAACAGGAGAGGGTTACAAAAGAGATGTGTTAATGTCTGTCAAAAAATGTTGTGGATCCTAATCCTGAATTTTTGAATTTTGCTGTCTACAGTTGAATGTTGAACTCTGCCCCCAACATAATTTTTTTTTTACTAGCAGAGACCCCTTGGCCTAATGAAACCATAGTAATGCTGATAGCTTCAGATGAAAAGTGAATTTTCCATGTCAGCACTCCCATGGCAGTTAATAGGTGATCTCAGGCACAACTGACTCCGGTGATGACTGGTTTAAAAAGACAGCTTGGACTTTGAATGCACAAGGAATGCCTCTGCAGTCCTCTAAGCAGACTGTTATTCCCACTGGACAGGTGTGTGTATGTGCGTGTGCTGTTGTCTATGGGCATACTGATGGAATGAATAAGTGTACTACACTGTATGTTCTGTTAATGTAGAACAGCAGTTTGGTCTCTGTTAGATTGCCATGTGCTCAAATTACATTAATAAACAAACCCCGAGAGCCAACAGTGAAAACGCTACAAGAAGGCAGTTCCAAGATCATAAAGTTAGTGGGTAGATAAGACACCTAACATAAACACGCTTCAAATTAATCCTGGTGTCTATTGCCTTAACAAAAGTAACACAACTTGCCTTCAATAATGAAATAATCGGCTCTCTTCATATACAGTAGTAGAGGAATTAATAATGTACTTTATGTCAGAGGTTTCCAACCTAATGAGGCCTAAATAGGTAACATTATCTGAAGAACGTCAAGGACAAGAAGAGTCAAGAAGCCATTTTTTTTTCTGGTTGTTATCCTGTTCATCATGTTATAAGCCCTGACATCTGTCTTTCAACGTCTTGTGGCGGTCCCGACCCCTAATTGAGGAGTCCTTGTTGTATGTGATGCTTGATAAATTTAGCAGTATGAAATTGGCCTTTAAATGCATTTTCTTTCTATGTTAAATAATCATAGAAAATTGTGAATCTCAAATCAAACTATAAACAGTATAGCAGTGTTTGAAATTCAACTCACCAGTTTGTCTCTGCTCAGTGTCACAGCCCAAAGGAGGAGCTCCCCTATGACCACTTCGCTGTTTTCTACTGTATGTTAAACCTGTCCTCCTCCTTCTCCCTCCTTCCTTCTCCTCCTCCCTCCTTCCCCACTCCACCTTCTGCAGGGACTTTAATAGGCCAAAGGTGAGCCTAAAGGCTAAGTTATTTAACAGCGTCAGGAGTGTCCTGGGTCGATGGCCTTGTGTCCTCAGAAGGAAAGATGGAGACATGAAGCATCTGTGTAGTGGTCAAAGGTACACAACACCACTGGCAATCAGCTATGTAAGGAATTATTATATCACATATCAACAGTCAGCACTGCATCAGTGTATCATGTGCATATACACTCATTTGCACATTTTGGTCTTAATTTGTTTAAAATGAGAATGTAGCGGAACAGTGTCCCGTTTGAAAACAGTGCTGAACATACTGTCCTAACATTAACTAAAAATGTATTTAACTGATTTATATGCTACAATATGAAACAATAGCTCTGCAGTAAATTGTTAATTTAATCCTTGTGAAGATTACATTGTTCAGTTTTGGTTGAAAGTGGCAGAGTCAACAACAGATATATTGAAGGATGTAGTTTGTAATGCTGTTTATTTATTATATTGTGTTAAACTGTAAAGTAAGAGATTAATGTTTATTCATCTTAAACTAATTTTCGAAGAAGCTAATCCACTATTTTCACCCATCACAGGTTAGTTTTACCTCATTGTCATCTCACATCTCTTTCAAAATACACTCGTGATGTTAGTATAATTAAAACTTAAAGTTTAACTAAATGGTTTATTTTTAAAGCAGCATACACAGGCTTGGGTGTAGCTTGGTCTTCCAGGTTTATGGCTGCTTTGGAGCCAAGGGAGAGTTCTTTGGTTATAAAAGCCTTGGTATGATAAAAGCCTTGGTATGATAATGCTGTCCTCGGTATGGGACAAAGGTGGCACAAACTCAACCAAAGCCAAATGCAATAAATCTGCAAACACTTAAAGTTAATTCATTACTACACTCATGTCTCTGCAAGGCTTATTTTGTATAATGCGTTGAAGCAAATTCAAATAACATGATTCTCCTTCCTTTAGCAGCACTATAGTTCTCAGTAAAGCTATTAATTTACACAGATAACATATTTAGGTTCCCTCCATCATCAGCAGTTCTTCCCCTTCCTTTCTATTAGATTATAATGAGTAATTCTAATATTGTAGCTGAGTGAATTGAAGCTAATTTTAACTACTTTATATAAAGTCTGGTAATTGAATGGTTTACATAGGGGGTTGGTCCCCTCTTCAAAGTAACAAACTATTAAACTAGGAAAGAAATGTTTCTTTGATGGAACTTCTAACAGTTTACAGACATCTGAAAAGTGACAAGGGGCTGTACGTGAGCGAATGTACATAATTACTGGTTTTCACACAGCGTTCAGGTTTTTAAAAAAAAAAACATGGGGGTGTGGGACTGCCAGCCACAAACTGGGAAGAACGGCAGGGAACAGAAAAATCTGCACAGGCCTGGGGTGTCACGCTTACTGCCTGTGGACACAAACACTCAGATAGATACAGGTGTGTGCACCTCTAGACCTGGCAGGCACTGATGGCAGCTGATGGTTTAGGGCTCTGAGGGGGGAACAGTATAACACACACAGATATACACACACACACCTCCAATCTGCCAGCAACACACTCGCTACCAGTACGGAGCCATGTTTGAACAATTGATCCCAGGGGTGCACAGGAGCCACAATCAGAGAAGAGAAATTGTCTTCACTCGGCTTAACACTGATGCATTCTCAATCCATTACTCTTAGTCATTACTTCAGTCTTCACATGAGTACGGAGCCATGTTTGAACAATTGATCCCAGGGGTGCACAGGAGCCACAATCAGAGAAGAGAAATTGTCTTCACTCGGCTTAACACTGATGCATTCTCATTCCATTACTCTTAGTCATCACTTCAGTCTTCACATGCTTGCTAAAAAAAAAAAAAAAAAAAAAAAGTGACACTGACTGACTGGATTGGTGAATCCTCCAGTGCTGCAGTTGCCTATTTGATCTGCAGTATAATCTCAGCGGTGTGTACCGTATGGCAGCACAGCACATATATACTGTAGCACCAGAAGATACAGACATTAGCTGTAAAGTGTCACTTCAGAGGTGATTATCTCCAACCTGTCTTCATCAGCAGTGGCACATCAGTAATCAACAAGTCATGCCAGTTTATGATTACTTCAGTCAACAGGGAGCACTAGTCTCTCTCTTCATCTTGATTGCATCCTCACATGGCTTATTTATCTGGGGTAAGAGGCTGTGCACATGACCTGCCACAGCCAGCTAATTAGACCAGGAGGAAGATTACAGGTGGGCCACTTGACATAACGGCCTATTTTTTGCTCTGGGAGTCATTTGAGTGTTCAGAGGCTATGCAGATGGTCCTCGCTCTTCACAGCAATAACACACCTCAGAAAGCAATGGTATTTCAGATTCCCAAATGTACAGGTAGGACTGGAGAGACAGTTACTCTGTTGCCTTGTAGGACAAGCAACCATGTAATCTGTCCAGGCCCAAGATACACATTATGTCTATGGCTCATCTCCAGCTCAACACAGAACAACGATGCAGCTGGACAATCTGGCTAAACATATTATCTTGATATGTAAACTCTTGAAGTAATTGACAATGGTAGCTTTCAAAAAAGGAATTATATACTCAGACCAATATAGATTGTCAGGGTTTGATCCTTGGACCACTGTTAAAAGCACCGCACACAGGCCAGGTCCAATCGCAGCTCGTAACGTGATGCATGTCACTGGGAGCGGCTTGGATTCAGTGCGTTACCGATTTGGGCGAGAACTTCAGTATTTGATGCTTCTGAGGCGCGTCAATTGCAGGTAAATAGAACAACAGCGTGCCCTGAAGTTTGCCGGGGTGTGCGGGCTTTCATTGAAAATAATGGGTGAGGGTGTTTTGAGGCGCGTTGCACGCTGCGACGTGTATAAGGTGCCCTTTATTCAGCCTGCACATCTGGGTCACATCCATCCATTATCTATAACGCATACTCCTAAACAAGTCCCTGGACTGTGGGGGGAAGCTGGAGTGCCCGGAGAGAACCCATGCAGGGACAGAGAGAACATGGAACTCCGCACAGAAAGTTTGAACGCGGAACCTTCTCGTTGTGAGGCGCTAACCACCGCGTCGCTGTGCCGCCCTGGGTCAAAATATACATGGCAATAACATTGCTTATCACAACTAAGCAGACAAATAGCTGATTTACTTAGCTCTTTCATCAAGTTGTGACCAGGCCAATATACAGGCCTAGGCAACTCAGAACCTAGCAACTTCTAGTAGTTCCCCAAGAATAACACCCATCCTGTTTTCAGAGGTCAAACTCATGCAAACTTCCCCAGTACTGAGCTGCTACCCCCCAGATAAAACTGCAAACACGGAGACATTGGAGTTACTCACACAGATAAAACTTGATTTGAGTCAATGTATAACTTAACACCTTACAAATAGAACTTACTCGGTCATGATTGGTGACCAGTCCTCTAGCACTGCTCCTTTGATTTCGGGCGTTCCGCAAGGTTCCATTCTTGCTCCCTTGTTATTCTCGCTATATATGTCCCCTCTTGCGTCTATTATATCTAGTCATAATGTTTCTTTTCATTTCTACGCTGACGACATCCAAATCTATATGCCTTTGGTACCTCCTGCATTAGGTGCTCTTGCTGCATTGCAGAATTGCATATATGATGTTAAAGTCTGGCTGGCTCAAAATCTTCTCCATTTAAATGAAGATAAAACCGAATACATTGTCATTAGTCCTAACCCAGCGGTGACCATGTCAGATCTAGGCACTTATGCCTCCACATGCTGTAATACGGTCAGGAACCTGGGAGTTATATTTGACAAAAATTTTAACTTTCATTGCCAGATTAAGGCCGTGGTAAAAACGAGCTTTTATCAGTTAAGACTGTTAGCTAAGGTAAAACCATTTCTTTCTCGCACTGATTTAGAGAAAGCCATTCACGCCTTCGTGACGTCCCGGCTTGATTACTGCAATGCCCTCTACGCCGGTTTATCCCAGTCATCGTTGTCCAGGCTGCAGTT